ATGTCAACAGCGATGTGGGTGAACATGACAATTGAAAATGAATATTTAGTATTTATTATAAGATATTTGTTTTCTATAGAACAACGTGAAGTCATGGAGTCTGTGGCCAGCGACGAATGCCAAGTGTCACCTGCACACCAAAAACTGTAAGTATTAGAAAACATAGTGTTATCTATTATTATGAGCTGCAGCTACCTTGTTCAGTATTATTCCTGCAGTGTGGTGGAAATGACGGTTAAACTGAGTGACAGATTTATTTTGAGTAAAAATTCATATTTACACACAAAATACTAACATGTTTTTTGATTGTTTAAGTGCTACTTAACACAAGTACATCAACATTGATATGATTAATCACGATTTATAACTACATTTTCATTGTTGAACATATGAAGTTCGGGTGTGGGACAAGGGCAAAACAGTGATATTGAAGTTCATTGTCACTGTTTTGCCCCTTGTCCCACACCAGAACTTTATTACTTTATTACTTTATTACTTCATTTCTGTTTACTGTGTGGTTTTATTGTATTGTCTGTTTGTCTGTGTGGCTGGATGAGTGTCTAACTTCCCTGAATGTTAAACTGTAGTTGCCTTCTATCTTTGGTTTCCCGTCCGGTTAATGAAGTCTGCTTTACTTGTTTAATCGGTGGAATATGCGCACAGACATATCAGCACTTGTTCTGTTTAAACATCAGCAGGTCACTCACTGATAAGTCCCTGTCACTGTAATAACACCCTTTGTAATCTGCAGCGCCATTTCTCTTCGTCCCGCCCCGTCTTGTATCTCCATACAGCTGATACTAAACCATAAATGATATACTATATTACTATATAGGCTACAGCATATGCTATATAGCCTATAGACAGTTTAAGGGCCCACTATTGGTCCCCGCCCCCTCTGCAATGAGCCACAGGCTCCGCGCCTAATTGAAGCATATAAAGATGTTGAAAAGTAAGTAAAATACATATTGGAGAGAAGGTAAAAACATTTAAGACAGTTTTATTGTTTATTTATCAAAGAGAATGTGAAAGTGTTTGTAGTCAAAGAACCACCCTTATAAAGACATGCGACATTTCCCTCTTTCCATTAAATCGTCTTCAATGAATCTGAACTCACCTGCCGTCGTGTCGTGGAGGAATAATCCCACGAGAGACACAAACACCAGAGTCTTCATTGTGACCTGTGAAGTCTTCAGCTTCGTCCAACTTCAAACATTTATGTTTCTCATCAACTTCTTCAGAATCTGCAAACACATTCAGGCTATGCGACGGAAAACCTTTGATCCCAATAAAAGTAGTGATGTGTCGTCATGAACGATTCGTTCAAAACGAACGAATCATCTGGGTGAACGAACTGAACTGAATCACTTACTGAAAAGAGTTGTTCATTTCTCAACTTCAGTTGTTCTCTCCTCTCTCCGGTCTCGTCTCTCTCTCCAGACTGTAAGAGTCTCTCAAAGCCCGCCCTCCCTCTCCTCTCATGTCAGTGATACCTACTGACTGAACCAACAGGACGGAGTCGGTCAGGAGCTCTGTGTCTCTAAAGCCCGCCCCTACTTCTCCCTCTCATGTCTCCAAGATTGAGGAAGTAGAAAATATATTATTTAACATTTAGGTGTCGCGAAAATGTTTGTGCTTTTTATATCTGCTGTCAGTTTACAAACAGCTTTTATATCCAAACCTCTGGAACCTAAAGCCAGTTGACTATGCCCCCCTAATCACCTCCACCATCCCAGATACTCTTATTAAGTTGGCACTGCTAAATGCGAGATCCCTCTCAAACAAGACCTTCATCCTGAGTGACTATATCTCTACTGCTCAGTTGGACTTTCTCCTCCTTACTGAGACCTGGCTGAAACCTGCCGACCAGTCTCAGCTACTGGAACTATGTCCTCCAACCTATGACTATTTTAGCACCCCAAGAACCACAGGCCGAGGTGGGGGTCTCGCTGTCGCTTTTAGAAATACATTTAAATGTCGCCAAATAGCTTTTAAGCCTGTGTCATCATTTGAGACACTTCTGTTTGTAATCTGCTGCCCAGAGCCAGTACTATGTGTGACTTTGTACCGCACCCCTCGCCCAAACCCTGTTTTTCTACCTGAATTCTCTGATTTTATGTGTTTTATTGTCCTTAACTTCGACAAAGTCATTTTAGCTGGTGATTTCAACATCCATGTTGACGACTCCTCAAACAGACTTGCTACAGAATTTCTAAATGTCACACAGTCTTACAACCTTGTTCAACATGTGTCTAATCCTTCACTTGAAGCCCACAACATGCCCGTCCGATTGTATTCCCCCTCGCCTACTGAACGAAACATTTAGCACTATTGGCCCCAGCATCCTCTCCATCATCAACAACTGCCTCTCCACAGGATGCTTCCCAACCGACTTTAAACATGCGATGGTTCAGCCTCTTCTGAAAAAACCTAACCTAGATCCTAACATTTTATCAAATTTTAGACCAATCTCCAAACTCCCATTTCTATCCAAAATCCTGGAAAAGGTCATCTACAAACAAATCAACCCATTCTTAAGCAATAACCAAGTATTCAAAGCACTCCACTCTGGTTTTAGAGAAAACCATAGCACTGAAACAGCTCTTTTAAAAGTTCTTAATGATTTGTTTTTAGCAGTAGATAACGGGGACAGTGCAATTTTAATACTTTGAGATCACGGTTGACCACAGCCTACTAATCACCAGATTAAAGGACTGGGTTGGGATCCAGGGGCAAGCCCTAAATATGTTCAAATCCTACCTGGAAAACAGAAGGTTCAAAGTATGCCTTAGAAATACCGTCTCCCCCTCGGCCACCCTCACCTGTGGGGTACCTCAGGGCTCAGTCCTATCGCCTCTTTTATTTTCCTTATACATGCTGCCCTTATAAGGAAACACGGTCTATCCTTCCACTGCTTTGCGGATGACACACAATTATATCTCCCGCTCAAAAACACTAATCCACACTCCCTGCAACCACTACTCAACTGCTTCAAAGAAATCAAAGACTGGATGGCACTAAACTTCTTTAAACTAAATGAACAAAAAACCGAGGTACTTCTGTTCGGCCCCCCGGAGTCCACCAACTTGATCTGTAAAAAACTTTGCCCACTGTCCTCTTTTGTGAAAACATATGCAAAAAATCTTGGCGTAACCTTTGATTCAACCCTTAAATTCGACACACAAATCAACTCAGTTGTTAAAGGCTGCTTTTTCCAACTCCGGTCCTTAACTAAAGTAAAACCTTTTTTATCCTTCCAAGATTCAGAAAAGCTTATTCATGCTTTTATTACGTCCCGCCTTGACTACTGCAACTCCCTCTATATGGGAGTCAGTCAGTCCTCCCTCTCACAGCTACAGTACGTCCAGAACGCTGCTGCAAGATTTTTAACAGGTACACACAAGCAAGAGCACATCACCCCTGTACTCGCCTCCCTTCACTGGCTCCCTGTAGATCTTAGAGTCCATTTTAAAATTCTATATAAGTCACTGCATGGTCTAGCCCCCCCGTATCTAACAGAACTTGTAACCCCCTACACCCCATCACGCCCACTTAGGTCCTCTGAACAGTCGCTCCTTGTAGTCCCTCGAGCTCAACGAAAACTCAGAGGTGACCGTGCCTTCTGAGTGGCTGGCCCCCATCTGTGGAATCAACTGCCTCCCTCCATCAGACAAATCAACTCTTTAAATCTGTTGGGCCACGCAGGCTTAGAACAGTCATACAATGGACTTGGGCCTGCACCTCTGTAAAAGCCTCATTTGAGTTATTCACTGAGATCACAAAGAGGCCTAAAAGGACTCTTAATCCCAGAATCCCCTGCGGTACTTCACACCTACGTGTGAAGTAAAGGGGGGACCGGAACCTCTCTCTCCTCATTGGAGGGGACCTGAGGTAGACCCCCATGGAGCAGGCCAGGCTACAAAACTCCAAGACTTCCATTGCTCGCTCTCTTTCACGCGCTGACCTTCGGTGCTCGGAGACCCAAGAAGATCTCCTGTTTCCTGCAACAATCTTCCTTTGTTTTAAGTTTTGGCGCGCAGGTAATCCGCGGCCGGCAGTGTTCTAAATTCCGAGCTCGGATTGTCCAGTGAACGCATCTCAGTTTCTCGGAGAGCGTCAGACTATAACAGATTATCAGAAAGATAACGGTCTTATTCCGTCCTGCAACGAAAGGACATCAAAAGACATTTTTCCACTCGACGGAGAACCAACGAAGCCGCTCTCGCCGTAAGGGACCCTCGCCGCCATCAGACGCCTCTGCACCAGGACGGACAGAAGATCTGCTCCATCGCCGGACTCTTTTCCTTTCACCAATCGCGGACAAAGCGATTCACAAGTGAGGCTTAATTAGGTCTGGGCAGAATTAGCTTTAGAGAGTGTTTTTAACAATTGTTGATCAAAGCAGAAACTGTAATTTTTATCTTTGTTGGACCTGCGTCCTGAGTTTTAACTGTTTAAAACTCTTGTTGTTTCAGACCGCTGCGTCCTATATGTGTTTATCGTAACAGCGTTATAACCGGGTATTACTCTTCTGATCAGAAAGGCCAGTGTAAGCCGTATTAACCTGAATTCGGCTATTGGTTTGTTTCTGTGAATGAAGGGAATTACTCCGAGTTGTGGCGCGGGAGTCGGACTGTGATCCGGCCTCTTCAGGCACGCATTTCTCTTTTATTCTCTTTTATTTCCCCTTCTACGCACACACATACACACATATTCCTGTGTAAACGTACATCTGGAGACCAACTCCACCACCGCGCCATTACGCACAGAGATCTATACACTCGCGGCTATCCAGACGCCTCAGAGACACAGATTGTGTAGGGCCGAACTCAGTCTCTTTTAGACCTTAAGGCCACATTTAGGCCTTTGTTAGGTGTGTGCCATCGGAAGGGCGACCACGTGGGACGAAGTAATCTTCCCCCCCTTCTCTCTCCCTTTCATCCACACGTGCACACACCCAGGTCTTTGTTAGGTTTGCGCCATCGTGAACGACCACGAGGGTACGAAGCCATCTCCCCCCTTTCTTCTCTCTCTCTCTCTCTCTCTCTCTCACACACACACACACACACACACACACACACCTACATTCACACCTCATCCACAAGCCTTTGCTTGATAATGTTTGTTGCTTAGATTAGTTTATAATAGTTATTTGTTTAATTAAGTTCATTGATTTTGGATTGATGTTGCTTTGTTTAAATAAATTCTGTTATAATTTAAGAGAGCAGTTGTTTGTGATTACTGGTGTATTTGCATTGTGATATAAGCTGGGTGCGAAGGCTTTGTGTACGGATTTCACGCCTTCAATTTATTAAATATAGTTATTCATTATTAATAATATTAGTAATTAAATAACTAATTTGAGACTGATTTGAGTGATATTTTGGTTATATTTACCTGATTACAGGTTGGTGCCCCAAAACGAGATTAAACATAGTTTAATGATATTTTATTTATATTATTAATAATTAAGTATAATTATTAAAGAATATAACCAAAGTTGACTTGATACAACCCCAACAAATGGTGCCCCGTGTGAGGCCTTCAATAAACCAGCTTTATTGCACTGTAAATGCACAGTAATCCAAACTTAAAATCCTAAAAAGGATCCTTCGGAAGAAAATTATATTTTCTTTAAATTTTGTGGTTTAAGCAAAGCAGACATCAAGCTGTGGCTTAGTTGTGTTGTATGTTGTTAGTTAATGGTTAAAGCCATAACTGTTGTCCCCTTTGGGTCCATACAACAATTGGACATAATGATGCAGCTAGTGTGACTTTATCAAGGAACTTGATTTGTTGCATTAATCTAGATTTTGATCCTGAAGTATTCTACTAAAGGATTGTGGTGCTCCTTGTTGTTTGAGAGCCATTTGGCCAGATGAGAGTGTAACATTATCATTGTTGCATAGCCAGCTGTCTGAGAGGTGTGAGTTCCTCCCTTCCTTTGAGGACTTGAGGTGTGAATCCCCTCTCCTATCTTCCAGGATAGACTGCAGTGATCAGTTGGGAAACTTAGATAAGATTTGCTCTTGTGTACCAAGACCCTAGGTGAGTCGGGGGCTGAGACTCCTTTTGGATCAGACGACGCAGCACTGCAAGAAACTGCTGCCGGTCTGACGAACCTCTCCTTAGAGGAGAGTGTCAACCTATATAGCTAGTCAATTAGCATTAGTGATAAGAAGTAAAAAGAGCTAGTTGATCTTGTCAACCACAGAGCCAGGCTCACCCCTAATAAAGACAGAATGTATGCAGAAGACATACATCAACTATGGTCCAAAGCTCACTATGGATCAGCCGATCCACCCCTTCAAGACATAGTTGCTAATCTTATCCACCTCCCTATAGAGCAGCTC